GAGTTTATATTCATTTACAAGCATAGCGAACCAGAAAAGTGTTAGATATTCAGTTAGTATATCATATTTTACAAATATAGCAGTTCAAAATGTAAACAAAGCGTTTGTTTACATCATCTTTAATAACAGTTCAAGATACATTATTTTTGAATTAGTATAACTAAACAGGGAAGAAATAATGTGATAATGAACGAAAACAATACCACATAAATCAGAGGGCAACAGAATAATTTTAATATTTAATTTTAATATTGACCTTCCTGTTTCTGGTCTCGTGATACTTATCGGGGAATTCCCTATAGGCTATACGAGAATTTGCCCCTTGTCGGACTATTTACATCCCGCACACACTTTATATCTTTCCCCATGGGAATTCCCTTTACATTGAAAGAGGTTCTTATGGGCGCATTTAAGAATAGTAGACTTATAATATTGAAATCATTTCATGTTTGGTCCACCTAAACGTTCAGTGCGATTGGATTTGGGGAAGCATGGCTTTATATCATATAATGGGCGTGACAGTGGCTGAATTGTGAATTTGAAGGTATATATACTATACATTACATAAACATACTTTATAAATTCAGTAGTAGGCTATCGTGACTAGGTATTTTTAGGTATATTTATTCATCACATTTCCTGGTTAAGAAGCGTTTTACCAGAGTCAATATAATTCGATTCCAATAACTCATCGCGATGCTCTTGCCGGATCACGTGAGGAAGAGGAGTGTTGTAGCACCTCTCGGTAGATTGACTCTCATTGGCCCATAGGCTTCTGATGCTAAAAATAGAACTTTTATCATAGTTTATAATCGTTACAGTTCTGGACATAAGAATTACTTGAGCACAAGAATCGAAGGCCGTAATGAATGGGAACGCTGGTCGACTGACAAGAACATTTGAACGCACGAAACCGAAGAAGAGCGTTTTCTGATGGCACGTTCTATCGAGTAAAGGGGATCGGACGTATTTCCCGTTGACACGAGGTGAAGGGAGCAGAGGATCATAGTCTCCTCACTGCCACCGGACATAAGGGATCGAGGGGATCGAAGGGATCGAGGGGATCGGACGTTTTTCGCTTTTAAAAGAGACACGAGGCGAAGGGAGCAGAGGGTCAGAGTCACCTCACGGCCACCAGGGCATAAGGGATCGAAGGGATCGAGGGAATCGGACGTTTTTCGCTTTTAAAAGAGACACGAGGCGAAGGGAGCAGAGGATCAGAGTCACCTCACGGCCACCAGGGCATAAGGGATCGAGGGGATCGGACGTTTTTCGCTTTTAAAAGAGACACGAGGCGAAGGGAGCAGAGGATCAG